GAAACCTAGATTTTAAAAGATATTTCCAATTGCGTCTTGAATCATCAATGCTTTCTAATTTTTTAAATAAATTTTCTGGTAATAAATAGGTACCTTCTTTTGATATAGAGATATTTTTGTTCAATTTGACATTAATCTTTTGTATTTTTACACAATTCATGCAAATTAGAGTTGCAACATTCTTTAATGAATTTTTAGAATTTTTTAAAAAGGTAAGTGCTCCACCAATATGACATATCGAATTGTTGTTATAATCGTTATTGTTATTATCATCATTGTTAAATGAATACATAAAAAGTTTTATCATCCCTTCACCAGAAGTACAGGATAATCGAAATTGTTTAATATCGGTTCCTAGAATTTTACGAATGTGAGTATATTCGTAATAGAAAAGAGTGCAAATGGTAATGATAACAAAAAACAGGTAAAAGAAAAGATTTGATTTATCAAAGGTGCTGTCAAAATTCAAAATAAAAGTAGGGATAAAAGTAGAGATAGCAATATATGAAATAAATAATAAGATTAAAAAGAGTTGGGAATCCCAGAATGATAATTGTTTTTTGATAAAAATTTGAAATGATCTATATAATTCTCGAAGACTGCCTTCCTCAATTTCTTTTAGATTTATGTCATTATTAGTTACACAAGAAATTGCAACCAAACAAGTTTCACTTTCAGTATCGATTATGTCCGAAACTGCTAAAGACCATCCAAGAATATTAGTTGGTTTTTTGAATTTATTTATATTAAATTGTTTATTTGCCTTGTAATTTGTTGCTACTTTTGCAATTGATATGGAAGTACCATCTGAAAAAAATAAGTTTAGAGGAATATAACTTCATACTTTTAATATAAAAATTGATACATAAAATAATATTATAACTTACCTGGATTAAACGTTGCTACAATCGAACCGTCTGGGCTAACTGCTATATGATTAATTTTTTCTTCATTTGTATGGTTCCCACTTTCCAGATCATCAACAGATTCACTTTCTTTTATGCGTTCGTCTATTTCAATCTCGATTTCGTCCATGTTTTCCTTTTCTTATATCACAATATAAAAAAATAAATTCACGAAGAAAATGTTGTCATACAGTATGTATAGATGGCCTTTAAATTGATTTTTGAAAAAATGTAATTTCGCAAGAATTTCGGATTTGAAATATTTTTTATATAAAAGAATTTAAAATAACTATGCAATTTAGTATATTTTAGGTTAAAGAATTCAAATAATTTTGGATATAATTTCGGCTATTAAGTAAATTAATTCATTGAAATAATTTCGGACTTCGGCGTTTCAGCAAGATACGGCTTTGTAACCATAATTGAGTTTACTTTTATAATTAACCATTAATTCTAAGAACAATTAAATACTTTGGTAATAAGTTTACCACTTTCTTAAATGGCTTTCCTTTTGTATCATCATTACGAGTTTTTTTTTTAAAAAAAGTTCGTTCTTTTTACTATTTCTATTTGATTAGGATGGACGTATATATATGGCTACACAAATTTGTTCATTATTAATTTCGGACCTGACTCTTTTCTATTGTAAAAAAAAAATCAAAGGTAACGTTGCAAAAGTATCGATCTTGATATAGTATATGCTTCTTGATAAACATATATATATATTTGATATATTAAGAACTATCCCGCGACACTTGCGACTATTTTATTTTAATTATTTATCGCAGATCATATCAGATTGACAGCAGAAATTTCCTTCTGTAATGGATTTATAAACCAGAAAAATATTAGTGGTATGATAACTTTTCAGAAATTGTCACAATATATTTATTTATTGCCTATATTGTATTTATTCAAAGGGTTTTAAATTAAAATATACAAAAAATAAATTGTAAATAATTACCATTATAATGATTCAAATAAAACTGCTAGTTTTCCAATTAACTATCAATTAAAATTTTACTTCATTTTCTTATAGTAATTAAATTTCCTCTTGTTAGTACATGTGAGATTTTAATATTTATTGGATTAATTTAATTAAATGCCAAGTTTGGAAAAATATTTAGCAATATAAATAAATCTCTTTTAGAAATCATTTAAATTATTTGTCGTACAAAATATATTTTCATGATATTAACGGTATACCTTATGGAGCACAGTCCGATGATTATCTTACATGTCAATTTTAGTGCAGTCATGTGAACTTGGGTCCGTTATTAAAATTATTTGAACTTAACTATTATGGTCACCTGATATAAAAAAATTTACACATTTATTACATTTATTATAAGGACATTTTATAAGGTATTCGAGTGAGTAAGTGACGTTACAGATTGACATCACTGAGGAAGTGTGATTTGAGTTTAATACTAATATTACTAACGGCATCGTTGAACGTATGAATGATTTGGAAACTTTAACTCCTCTTTCAATCCTTCCAAATATAAATCAGCTATACAATTTGTAGCTCATACAATAATAAAAAAAGCTAAAGAAATACATTAAGAAAGAATGAATACTCTGATAAATAAAAGAAAAATTACTAATCTTACGGAAAGGATTGAAGAAAATTTAAATTGAGTGTATTTTACAGTTTAAAAAATTATTTTTTGAAGAAGATATTGAAAGTTTTTAAACAAATAGAAAGTTTTATTGTACAATTGTATGAATAAATATTTGAATTTTAAAGAAATTTAAGAAAATAAATTCTAAGAACTGTATAATGAATATATTGCAAAAAATTTTGGTGAGATTATATAGAGAGAGTAATAACGAAAATAATTTAAAGAATATATAAACTTCTTATTTTAATTTAACAAATATTATTAGATTCCAAATTTATCTTTTTTTATAACAAAACAATGAAGTATCAAGAGGTGTCGAAACCATTCAAATTAGCTTATTATAAATCATGAAGAAAATTCCAGAGCCAATAAAGTACAAGTAATTTCAATATCTTGATCAAATGATACGATTAGGAAGGATAAAGGTTAGCAGAAGTGGATGTGCTATAGTTTCAAGAAAAAAAGCTGGTAGATTAATAATAAGTAGTACTAGTACATGATGAAACAATTCATGTAAGAGTTGAAGCATTTGAACATAGATGAATATAAAATTGAAAATTTAAAGATGATGACGATTTAAAACATCAGAATTACTTAAAAACAGAACAAAAAGAATTATATGAAGTAATGAGACGACATTTTTAATATTAAGAAATGTGGACTGTATTCTGTAGGGATATACTCATTTTAAACTCATCAAAGATTCACTTTGCTGTCTTAAGCAAAAAATAATGACCTTAATTTGAGGCGAAATTGAATGTTCAATAGTAAACATGAAATATATTTATGCCATAGGTATTTGTGTAATATTCATTTCACATTGCTTCTTTCAATATGTTTTAGAATACGTATAAGAACACAAATTTCAAAATTCTGGATAAATTAAGAGAGCGACCTCCGGAATTCAATATGCTGATTATGAGATAAATGGAAATGATGGAAATGATCGGTAATGATCGGTATATTAAATTTCCAAAAGGAGGTATCGCATGCGCGATTAATACTTTTAAAGTACCATAAATAAAAAAATTGAAAACTGAAAATTAAAAAATTAGAAAGTTAAAAATTATAAAATAAAGTTGAAAATTTTAAAAATAATTATTATATTTAAAAAAGTATACTATAATTTATTTGTTTATAAAATAGGGTTCATTATCTATTTATCTATTTTTACTATTTAATTTTAAATTTAATTACTAATAACTGTGTTATTATGCAGACGTCCAAGATCATGTTCCAATTGTTCCATAAGTAATAGTTATTTCACGGGGAGTCATGAATGTCAATGATTTTCACGGCGCACTCTTTTATCTCATTGGAGGCTACCGTCCAGTGATGAAGGAGTGGGAAAGGTATAAATAAACTATAAAAACACGTGAGCATGAAAAAAATCATCAGAAAAATTACAGGCATGAATAGATCATCAAAAAAATCACTGGCGACCAATTAGTAAACATGAGATAAAAAAAAATAATAAATGAACTATATAAGCTTATTTATTTACCTATAAAGATTAATATATGTGATATTTAATCAAATGACGTAATGCGTCAAAAATATCTACGCAATAATAATTTAATTAAGTTTCTGTAATATAAGAGTATTAGTAGTAATAATCTACTTATCTATTACATTCTTTTAAAATAATAATTTTACAATTTCTAATATAAAAATCATTTTATTATCTGTTAATATTATTTATGCATAAACAGATATCGCATGAGTAGTTATTTTACTTAATAATGCATCAATAACGTAACTTTTGCATCACCTTTCGTAATGATATATACAGTACTAATTCGGACGATTAAATATAGGTGAGACGAATAGTTGTGGAGTACGGTGACATTTGGCGGTGTGTAACATAAAGGGTGTGAAGCGTACTCAGGTGATGAATAGTATCTCGGCCACTCTGAATCACGTGTTTAGCCCATCGTGTTATTTATCACTTGAGTAAACTGTCACATAGGACCGTACTCCACTCATCATCCCCACCGGACTCCACAACTTTCCGTATCACTCATTAAATATATACTAGTATGCTTTTTATTTCTTTATTGATACTTCAATTTTTATTTTTTATTATATTAAATTAAAACAATTGTTTAATGTATGAGTAACAATACAATTTGCTTAGTATTAATATGTTAAGTTCTAGAATTTTACAAAGTCATACTGTACATAGATTTACAATTATCTGTTTTTAATGTGTATGAGATTAAAATTTGTAAATTTAGATAACAAAAATAATAATATTGCGTGCAATAATGATTAAGTCATCAAAATTAAGGATTTCCATTAATAATTCACAAAAGTTAATCGGACTTTTTTTTTAATGAACATAATTAATTTTCCTTTTATTTGTTTGTTTTAAAAATAAAATAAAAAATTTACTTAGAATAGCAATACATTAATTAATAAATAATATACAAATTTCTTAAATAAATTCTTCTAATCCATACTGGCAATATTAATGTTTATGATGAATTAAGTTTTGATGTCTGTTTAAACTTGCAGACTTTCTAAATAATTTTCCGCAATTACATTTGTATGGTCTTTCGTTCATGCGGTATGCTAACCGACATCTTTTTTGTGAACTCTCTCCTGTTGTTTCATTCAGTGATGTCCTATATGCATGTTGTTTAGTTGTAGATAATAAATCCCTACTATATTGTTCTTCATAAATATCATTTTCAAATTTCCTTTTTGAAGATTGTCGTGAAGCCGTAGAATATATATCAAAGAATGGTACATAATTCCAAAAGTGGTGATTGATTTCAAAATTGTCCATCATTTTATTGGCAATATTATTATTGCCTTCAAAACCTGAATATGCATTACCGCTATTATAATCAGGTAAATTATATTCCTTCATTTGCTTGTCTACAAAATCTGCGCAATTATCACTGCTTTCAACATTAACATAAGATAAAATGCTATCGTCAATATTTAATTCCTCACTTCTAATTAGTTTGTGTGATTTAATATTAACAGTCGCGCCGTCTCTCAAATTTTCGTTAAAAATCTTATAGTATTCACCATTGCCATTAGAAGATTCATAACTATCATCACTTAAATATTCCTCATTGTTAAAAAATTCACGTAACTCCTTTTCAGTGCTATCTACGTTGACATTGTGAAAAGATCCGTATGGCTCCATTTCAACTCCAATGATTTCATCATAACGTAAAAACTCTTCTAAACTGTCTTGAAATTCTTTTTGCTTAGTTAAATCAATTTTAGCTCGATAATTATCGCTTAAATATCTTTCGTTGGAAATAGGTTCGTATGGTTCCACCTTGATGTTAACAGTTTGGTTATTATCCCTTAACGTTAAGTTTCTTTCTGCTCCGTAAAAAGGTTCATATGGTTCCATCTTAATGTGAACAGAATTATTATTTCTTTCATTTCCATAAAAAGGTTCATATGATTGCATCTTAACGTGAACGGTTTGATTATTATCGTCTAAATTTCTTTCCTCGCCGTAAAAAGGTTCATATGGTTCCATCTTAACGTGAACAGTTTGATTATTGGAGCTTAAATTCCTTTCCTCATCGTAAAAGGATCTTCCACATGATTCCATTTTAGCTCTAATAGTTTCGTCATAACGTAAAAATTCTTCCAAGCTATCGAAAGATGGACAATACTCAGTTTGCTCCATTTTAATAATACTTTCACTAAACGGTTCATTTGAACTCATTTTAGCTCTAACAGCTTCATCATAACGTAAAAACTCTTCCAGACTTTTTAAATCTTCAAATGACTCAATTTTAATTTCGACGGATTGTTCATTTTCATGTACATCTCTTTTCTTGAAATTGGAATATTCACATGGCCTGATTTTAACTTTATGAAGTGTGTTGTCACATAAATCTTCAACGGGTCGATCATTTTCATGTACATCTCCTTTCTCACAGTTAGAGTATTTACATGATCGAATTTTAATTTTATTAATTGTGTTGTCAGGTAAATCATCTTCCAAACCGTTAAAAAATTCACGTGAATCCGTCTTGACACAAACAGTTTCATCACCACTTGTCTCCATCTTAATGCTGACAGTTTCATCACTCAACTCGCTATTAGGATTCTGAGCTTGAATTGTTCCAATGTAGTGATCAACAAAATTTGAATCCTGTTTCTCGGAGCCAAAAGGTAAAGAATTTTCCATTTTGATTATAACAGGTTCGTCGTAGATGTCAATATCGCTGTTATTATTGTCTACCATATCAAAATCATAGTTGGGAAAACTATTTCGAGCATATAAATCATCTTCAATACTTCTCTCCGAGAAATTATCATAGCTTCCTATATTGTCACTACTTGTATCAATAACTTCTTCTTTAATATAAACGTCGCTAATATCGTCTCTCTCGCTATCTTCTAAATCGTCGTCACTATATTCTCTATCAGCCTTCAAAAAATAAAAAGTATATGATAAATAAACCAAAAGAAAAGCGTAAAGATCGATTTGATCTACTTACATAATAACTAGTAGAATCACAATCACTTTCAGAGTCCATATAATCATAGTTATCGAAGTTTAACGTTCCAAAAGGTGCCATAAAAGACATATTATATTCAAATAATTTAGCAGTCATTTCGTTACCTTTTTATTTATTTATTATTATTATTTTTTTTTTTTATAGAAAAAAAAGAAAAGAAAAGAAACGCAATACAATAAGCTTCATTATTTGAGAGGCGACTAAAAATTTTATTTAATAAACAAACTTTACCCGATATTTCGTAAATAAACTTCGTCTTTGAATAGGAATATTTTTTTTTTGAAGAGAAAAAATATTTTTTTGAAGGATATATTTTTTGTCAAAGTATTTAAGTATTTTTTTTTTTTGATAAAAAAGTTTTCTTAAAAGATGACTTATATACTGGAAAATCTATTATAGCGTGATAACGTGAAGATATACCAATTATGGTTAACTAAATTTATAATGTTACATACGACGACTATTTAGATTATGAATTATGAGTAATAAAACGCGAAAATAGATGATATAATAAAATGATACAAAATTTAAACTCCTTATAACAGATAAATTTAATTCCAAGCCAAATTTTTAAAATTAGATAGGAAAGCATCTCATGTTATTACAATTAAGGAAGAATGAACAAATATAATAATACTGCTAATTTGGTGAAGGGTTTGAATGATTCAATATCAATATAACGAACCCTCCGGGTTCCGTTATAAGATTATTTCAAAGAATTTAAGAAATTTAATTGACCGATTCGTTATAATGAAGGCATTTGATATTTTGATTGGCTGATGTCACGTGCTAAGAAATTCGTTATAAAGCTGACTGTATTTATTATACATGTGCGTGTTATATATCATAATAATGTTTAAAATGTTGTATCTAATTACAAATTTGTCAAACTATAATCATCAAATAAAAAATTTTAAAATTTTAAGCAAAAATATGCAATAAGATCTTGGAAAATATAATGAAGTTACTGTAATAATAAACTTTTCATTCACTCATTGTATATATGAAATATACGTGTTTCAAATTAATTAAATAATGTCAAGTATCATTAATAGATTCTTTATTGAAATAAATAATTTAAAAATTAAAGATACATCAAAAGTAAATACATCCTAATATAATAAATAAGAAAAAATAAAAAAAAAAACTAGAACCAAAGTGTCTCATGATCTTCGAGTGTAGTAAAAGGAACTTGATTTTTACTACCTGAGATAAGTTCATACCAAGGTGTAAAATTAACTTTATCATAGTAAGTCCTGTTTTCTTTACTAACGTTGTCATTGTCAACACTCTCATCAAACCATGAATATAATTTTGATTCCCTAAGTTTTTGAGATTTTTCCATCCATTTTTTCATCAAGTCAGGATCTTGTAGATAACAAATATATGGTGAATTATATAACTTGAAATTAATAAATGGAATTTCAAGTCTTTCAAAATCATCAATAAGTTCTGTTCTATACATCATAAGTCCAAGATTACTATCTTCCTTAGCTTTATTAAATGTGTCGCTAAATAATTTTTTGTATAAAGGTTGAAGGTTAAATAAATATTTGTAAACAAATACATCTTAATAAATATTGCTGATACTTACTTCATTAATGCAATAATCATGTTTAATAAGACAAGAACTATAACAATATTTGCAGTAAAGACTAATAACTTGAATGGCCAATAATTACTATAATCATCCAAATTATTTGTGTTTAAATAATACATGGAAAGAACGGCATCCCATATTGTGTCAAGAGGTTTATCTTGACTCGCTTCCGTTGATGTTAAATCTTCTTTAGTAAGAAGTGATGGATACGCAAAAAAAAACATACCTATTTAAAAATATAAATAAAGTTAATTTCTTTTAACATATTTAATATATAAGAATAAAAGTAAAAACAAAATTACATTGAATAACCAAATCCGATTATAAGGATGATCATGAATGTAAAAAACGGTATGATCTTTTTAAAAATATTTCCAAAAATAAATATATTTATTGCTATTACTGAAAATAGTCGAAACAATAATAGCTTGAAGAAATAAAAAAATAGTTAGTAATATAAAATTGTTTAAAAAATTAAAGTTTATAAAGATTATTAAGCATACCATTTCAATCAAAGAATTAATGTAGTCGTTGATATTAGACCAACAATTACATCAGTATTAATTGTTACTATATTGATACTATAATTTTCAATGATGTTATTAGCTAGAATCATTGAAGCAACAATTATAGCAAAAATGATACTGCCTATATCAAATACATTAAATATCGTAATGTATTTGGTTCTATACTTTATTATTTGCCTAATTTCAATTGCTAATAAATACGTTCCAATATAATAAAACATTACCAATATGGATGCAAATAAAGGAAGATCATCACTTAAATAAAACCAAGAAATAGTGTCGAATAGAATTAAAAAAGCAACGTATAAACCTAAAGGTAACATCAAATATGTCATTGCCTGTGGCCATCTTGAATTTATAACTGCTTCCATAGCCGGAATGCTAAAAAATGCTTTTTCGCTCTTTTTAATTCGAAGAAATGGACTAAAAGATGTTTCTTCTAGGGACTTATAACCAGGTGGAAATAATATCATTCGTAATAAATGTATAATTTCTTTTTTGAATTTTACTTCGACTTTTGAATTATGATTATGAGTTGTAAAGTTTGTAATTGGAACCATATAAAGATTGTGTAATTCTTCATGTCTACATCAAAGGAAAAACATTATAAAGAAGATTTAAAATGATGAGATAGATAAAATAATGATATACTATACCTCACTTTTTTATATCGCAAAATATTTGAAAGATTTGTTGATATAAGCGCGGTGACTGGAACATATACTTTTAATGTATTTTCGCAAACTGATAATTTTTGAAATCTTTTAATCGGAAAATTATACTTCATTTCTCCAAAACAAGGTTTAAAGAGTAATGAATCCATATAATTACCTGTATAAACAAATAATAAAATTTTTTAATAAAAGTATAGTAATAACAAATTATAACTGTACATACCATAATAATCATGATTAGATAATTTTGATAAGTCTGGAAGTATTTTTGTAACATTAAGCATCCAACCTATATGAGACATAAAATTTTCAGAATAATATTCCAATAAATACGCCAACATCACAGCATCCCGATCTATAAAGAAAATTTGATTGTCATAATACAGTACACTAATTAATAAGAGTAAATAACAAAGATCTTAAAAATGTTAACCTTGACAAAATTTAAAGCTAATGTCAAATCATTAGCTGATTTTAAATAATTGTTTTGTAATTCCAAATCATTATGTAATTCCAAACCATCATAATATGGGTAAGAACTATATATACTTTGAGGTTTGTGTAATTTTCGAATAGAATGTATTTTATTAAAGGAAATGAACGTGAATAAATAAGATATGCCATTAAAGGATGTTGAACCTCCATAAGTTTCCAATTATCAGGGTATCTTTTAATAAAATCTTTGATAATATTTATGATTCCACTAACAAACTTTTGATTTTTTTTAGAATCGATACTTTTGGTACTTCTATATAGATAAGCAAGTGATTTACATGCATGAGTTATAACAGTAGTCATATCATCTTCAACTAGAAATTTAGTTTCCGCCTCCGGCCTGATATTGTCACTTATTAAAATATATACAAGATTGGAATCTTCAAAATTATGAAAATCGTTAAAATCTATAAAATATGGAGATTTGGATTTCCAGACTTGAATACTATTTTGACCAATAATAAAGAGAAATCTTCTGTCATTGTTGAGAAATCTACCATGAATAGTTCTTGTATCATTAACATTATTATTCCATGGTTCCAGATCACTTGATCTATATTTATGCTCATTATGCTCATCAGCCACAACGTCATTTTCTCTAAAGGCCGTTCTTTTTATAGGTAGTATATCTAATAGTACTTTAAATCGATCCTCATTATACTTTTCAAGAGTGACTATTTTTCCATTTGCTTTTGTTAAAGTATGATAGTATTCATCATATTTCAATAAAGTAGAAATATCATTACCTGATAATTTAATATCATCTCTAGAAACAGGAAAATCATTTTTAAAACATCCTGATATAATCCAAATGTGAAATTTCACATTATGCTCCTTGTCTTCTCCAATAATGAATAGTTTCTTATCTTTTTCAATAAATTCTAAAAATTTTATTTTATAAATTTTATCAAATCTTTTAGAAACAATTTCCAGACCATTTTCCATTAAATAAAGTGTAATAACGTTATTTCCATAATAAGAATAAGCAAATAATCTCGAATCAGTTGATATTGCAAAAATTCCAGGTTCTTTATCATTTGAGTTCAAACATTGTTCTCCACGATGCCTGTAAAAAACATTCACTAATTGTAAATTATTAACATCATATATTTCAATGTTTATTTTTTGATGGTTGCTTGTATCAATCATTAAAAATTCCTGATACCTAGATTTTAAAAGAAATTTCCAATTACGTTTTGCATCCTTGATACTCTCTAATTTTTCAAATAAATTTTCAGGTAATAGGTAGGTCCCATCTTTTGATACAGAAATATTTTTGCGGCAACCAAATTGCATCCTTTTTTGAATTGATTTTAACTTAATTTTAATCTTTTGTATTCTCATATAATCCATGCAGATAAGTGTTGCACTTTTCTTCTGGGAATTTTTAGTATATCTTAAAAAGGTAACGACTCCACCACGATGATTTATTGGAGGAATGTTTTCAACATTAATATCGTTACTATTGTCAAACGAAAATTTGAAAAGTTTTATCATTCCTCCACCAGAAGCATGAGATAGTTGAAATTGCTTAATATCGGTTACTAGAATTTTACGAGTGTAATAATATTCGTAAAATAAAAGAATACAAATGGGAATAGTAATAATTAGATAAATGTAAATATAACTACTAAGTATTATAATAATTATCGACAAATAATAAAGAAGAATCCAGTTTTGATTACTGATAAATGGTCGTAATAGAGTGAAATAAATTTGATATTTTCTTTGATTCATGTTTTTTTGATTCATTCCATCATCACCCTTTGGATCCATGCCTTCGCCCCCTTTTGGATTCATGTCTTTGTCAGTTATACAAGAAATTGCAACCAAGCCAATATTATTTTTATCGTCCACGATATCTGAAACTGCTAAAGACCATCCAATAATATTAGATGGTTTCTTGTCGAATATTTTTTTTATATCAACTTGTATTTTTGCCTTGTTATGCGTTACTGCTTTACTCGTTATCACTTTACTTGTAGCTGCCTCACTTGTTGCCACTTCATTTGTCACCACTTCAGTTGTTATTGTGTCACTTGTCACTGCCTCACTTATCACTGTTTCACTTGTTGCTGCATCATTTGTCACCACTCTTGTGATTAATATAGAAGGGTCATCTGAAAAAATAAGTTTAAAGGAATTTACCTTTTTATTTTCTTATTTTCTTTTTTTTTAAAAAATAAAAGATTGGATATATTTTTATAACTTACATGGATTGAATGTCGCTACTACCGAACCATCTGGGCTAATGGTCACATAAAGTAATATTTTCACCATATTTGTCCCCGAATTCTGGATCTTCTGTCATGTTTTTTTTCTTGTATCAAAATATAGGAAGAAATTTTTAAAATTTTCCTGAAGAGAGTATTTTTTATAAATACCAATGCCCAATATTTATAAGATAATTATGAATCAACAAATTGCATAATTATATTGCTACCCTTCTTATTATCAATGAAATCGTATACATTTCGTTTTAATCATTGTTTACGATAGATCATTCTTTACATTTTTCATTGTTATTATTATTATTGTAATTATTATTTATGGCAATCGTTATGTCACTTATGTGTTAAAAGGATCATCTTTTTGTACTCAAAACTTCAGCCACCCACCTATTTTTAACAAGTGCCCGACCCGACAGGTGATGGTATGCAAACAGATCGACATAAATTAATCGCCTACTTCTAAAAACGGGCGGGATGAAAATCTTGCAGTGCACAGTTAGTTGGTCCGAAAAAAGCTTAATATTGTTTTAAAATGCTATATTTATGTTTATAATTAAGAAGTGACGTTAAAAGTTATTCCCAATTTTCTTTTTATTTTATGTTTTCTCAATCGTAAATTTATTATATCATTTAAAACTTCCTAAATTATCTATGATTTTCACCCAGCATTGTAAAATGTAAATTTTGCGCCATGTACTTGCAGAAAATTGCAGTGGGCGGGTTTCAATATGAAAAAAATTTGATAATATTATTACAAATAGGGAAATTTTTAATAAAAAAAATTTTTGAAAAAATCTCATTTGGATCATTATGATTAGACAATAATTCTATCGTAACCTAAATAAACTGTCATTATATATCAGATTACATATGTTAATTATTTTTTAAATCTAGTAATGATAAAGGTCATACCATTAATTATTATAAACTTCAATCTCGTGGTTATATAATAATACTTAAATTGATAAAATTGGAAAAAAGTTTATATCAACCAGGATGAGAGTAAAAAAGTAATTTAAAAATTAATCCCGCGCTCATATGACTGATTTTACTTAATTTGTCTTGTGTAACTGTTACGTTTAGTATAAATAATTTTGACGTGTGATTCGTTTGCGCCTGATCTATTCCATAATTATTATCGGGTCATGTGTACGTTCCGATGGCCAATCTGAGAGATTTTCATCGCAGTTCCGGTTAATGAAATTTTAATTGGATATTTTTTTTTTTTGCTATCAAAGTTAACTTTTTTTTTTTTTGATAAATTGGAAGTTCAAAATTAATATTATCGATGCATCAAACATAATTGCTATATAAATGAGATATTAATGTCATTTTTTAAAAGAAAAAGAGTTGGTGTACAGTTTATGCTGAATGAATAACTATTAGTCATTCCAATCTTTCAAAGGACTTTTTCTTAATATATTAAATAATGACGACGACTATAGTGTTATTATTCAAATTAAAATATTAAGGAATTTTGAACACACAGTTATTTTACGTGCTCGTTCTTATTTCAAAGGTACTCTTTAAGACGATTTGATTACAAAGAAAAAAAATATAATTTTGTTAATAAACCAAATGTTATCCTAATTATTTTGAGTGAATAATTAAAATAATTTAATATTAACATTATTTATTTAAATTATTTTAATAAAAAAAATATGTTAGTTATTTTAAAGTATATTTACGCTGATAAATTGATTTTACTGAGTAATTGGATGAAGACATTCTTAGATTATTGTTTGCTACTACTTGAATAATCATTTGGTTACGTACTGTACTTACGTTCAAGATTATTTAATTGAAGAACAAAATAGCAGGATTGATAAATTGTTCTTCTTGCTGTATTTATTCTTCCTACCTGGTTGCAAGAAATCAGTACAAGATTATTGTATTGATTCTATCTACAAAGAACCGCTACATTTATATTTTCAAAAGATTTTCTTTCTATAAATAAGGTGACCTTATCGTGAAATTCATTGTATTGCATAGACATTACATCAAATTCTGACTGTAATTACGAAAAATAAATCATGAGAAGCTTTAAGGACAAATTTCCATCATCAAAAATATGGATATAGTAATAATAAAAAAAAATAACATGAACAAATATAAAACCATTGATACAAATTAAAATAAATACTTTTTTAACCTTTTATTTTACAGCAGTTGAAATTGGTTAATTTTAATAAAGTTTTTCTTCTAAGAAGAGGGGATGTAGGATGTTTAGTTAATAACTTAAATCCGGGATCATTTTATTTCGCCATATAATAAATAATTATAAGTTCATTTTTTGATTCTATTGATACTTTTGTCTATTGATATTGATATTGACACTAATCCGATGGCTAATTCTTGACTAGTGAAATTAATTGGCCAAAAAATATTAATTATCACATAATTGATCATGTACTTAATCATAAGATTCGAGATAATTTGTATTACGAGTAGTAAACTTCGCACTATGATTAATTTCGGCCAGCATTAGGTTGATATTTAAAATTTACTAACATTGATCGATCAATTGATTGATTAAAAAATTAGTTTTCCTTTGAAATACTATTGTTTTACATAAAAAATATTGAATTAATTTCATCCACTTTCTGCTATAGTATAATTTGAACTTTGAAATATGCGTCAAATAACACAATTATTATACGACTACAAATGTTTGATTGTATGAACAAAATCTTGAAGATAACCAAAATGATTATTTTAATGTATAATGTTTATAATATCAAAAATTCCTATCGTTATCATCATGTACGGTATACACTGAGTCTATGACACTAGTATCCAAAATAATCCAATGCAATGTTCTTAATTTTCATATCCACCGATTTTAGCAAACCTATCTTTTTATATATACATACTTATATTCATGTATAATACTTTTTCCTCTGATAAAGAATTATTCACTAATAATGATGATTATGGTATTAATACTATAAATAATATTATTTGTTATTATTTACAAATTAATTTTCTAAAGGTATCTTTATTTTATTCATTCTCCTAAAAAAAAAAAATTTTTTTTGAACAAAGTTACCTTATTATGTTTAATGCAAAAGCAAAATGTGGTGGAATGATTTGAATGGAGGTAGTTGAAAGATTAGGATTTATATTACGAAATAAAATCAATTAGGTTAATTGCGGAAATCAAAAGTGAAGAAAAAAATAACATGTTTGCTTATTAACGCTTATATAATTTGATAGAATATCATGTGATTAATCGCGATATAATCCTTTTCATCTCAAAAAAAAATGAATTTTAGATAACTTGGTCTAACTACTTAAGTATTAACCAAACCCATTTATTACCCATAAAATGATATAATCAAATGAAATTTCACTAAGAATTTGTAACAATTATCATTGAGAATAAAGATACATTGAGCGGAATATTTGCAGTTGCAAATATACTTACTGTATTACAGTTTAATGTTTAAAATCTTTATTTATATAGAATATTCTTAAATATATATAGAATTCAATAAATCTATATGTACTATATATTATAAAAATTTATAAAGTATAAATGAAAGAAAATAGAAGTAAACTAACTTCAATACACGAATTAATATTTAAACTATTTAACTTTAACTTTCACATAAAAAGAAACTTCATTCAAAATTATCTTCACCATCTTGACAAATTTCATTTAGTTCTATAAAAAATAATAAATTAGATATAGAAATATCAATAAAATTACAAATAATAATAACTTACCTAATTCACTTAATTGAACATCTAAGCATTCTGAAACTGTATATTATATTTAAACGTTAATAAATTTAAATAAAATAATTATAATAATAAAGGGAATACTTACTTAGATTTGCTGATGTTGATTGAGCAGTATAACTAGTGTCTATTAAAAAATAAAAATAACATTAATAATGTAAAATGGATTATATGATAAAACAAAATTAAATTTAATTACCAGAACTGAATTGAAAAGATAATAAATCTGAAGAATTTACTGGGTTTGGAAGATTTTTGAAATTTAAAAGTCTACTAGTATAAATTGCTTGTGGATGCGTTTTGAAGCTTTTGGATTTATCTTCATTTGACCTGTTTTTGAATTTTTCTTTTCTAATTTTATCACATTCTTTTATTTGAAAATATAATTCACTTTTTTGACTATTGCTACCATTTTTACTATCTTCGTCTTCATTATCTTCACTATCTTCATTATCTTCAATATCTTCACCATCTTCACCATCTTCACTATCATCTCTATCTTCAATATCTTTAGTCTCAACATACCATTTATTTAATAGTTGATACAATTCTTTAGTGGTTGGTCTATTTTTTATTTCAGCATCCCAACATTTTATTATCAAATCTGCAAGTAACTTTGGTATGTCTTTAGAAATTGTTGGTCTAAGTCCTTTACATATTTTAATAGCTAAAAATTCATTATGAGGAATATCATTAAAAGGAATTTCTTCAGAAAGAAATTCTTTCATTATTATTCCAAATGAGTAAATATCTGCTGCTTTTGTATATTGTTGTCCACGTAAAACTTCTGGTGCCATATATGGTAATACTCCATAAATTCCTTCTTCTTTAACTGTTTGCTTTATATTTGCTGGTTGACACATTCCTAAATCACTTATATATGGATCACTATGATTTATTAATAAATTGCCTGAATGAAAATCTTTGTGAACTTTTTCAGAATTATGAATATCTAAAAGTCCTCTTGCAATTTGTTGTAATTTATCAATTTTTGATTTATAATTTATATAATTTTCAGATTTATTTAAATAATTTCTCAAATTTCCATCATTACAATATTCTATAACCATCATATACTCTTTATTATTTGGATCTTGAGTAATTCCGAAACATTGAACAATATCATAAATATAAATCTGAAGATGAGATTTAATCTAATTATCATCAAAAAGGAAAAATTTTATTAATAAATAAATGCAAATAACAATCTTTATATATAAGATAAAGTAAGTTTAAATTACCTCATTTAAAAAATCTGAACATATATCAGAAGAATTATTCAAACTTTTCAATGCATATTTACTCCAACTATATCTATACCAATTTTGATTTTCAATATCCCAATAATTAATATCTCCTTCAGGCCATTCAGCTGAATAAATCTTACCAAAACCACCTTCCGCAATATAAGTGATATTTTGAAATTTTTCAAAAGGTATCCATTCAAGATATTTTTTATTATATACAGCATTAAGTTGTGATTGTTGTATAAATTCATCAATATCTTTATTTCCACTAGTCCAATTTTTAAAGTTATCTTTAAATCTTTTAGCATTACAAGATTGACACCATCGCCATCCTGT